TGTGTGGGGATAACTTACAGCATAGAGGTGTGTGGGGGATAACTTACAGCATAGTGCTGTGTGGGGGATGACTTACAGCATAGTGCTGTGAGGGGGATAACTTACAGCATAGTGCTGTGTGGGGGATAACTTACAGCATAGTGCTGTGCGTGGGGATAACTTACAGCATAGTGCTGTGTGGGGGATAAATTACAGCATAGTGCTGTGTGGGGGGATAACTTACAGCATAGAGCTGCGTGGGGATAACTTACAGCATAGTGCTGTGTGGGGATAACTTACAGCATAGTGCTGTGTGGGGGATAACTTACACCATAGTGCTGTGTGGGGGGATAACTTACACCATAGTGCTGTGTGGGGATAACTTACAGCATAGTGCTGTGTGGGGGATAACTTACACCATAGTGCTGTGTGGGGATAACTTACAGCATAGAGCTGTGTGGGGGATTAATTACAGCATAGTGCTGTGTGGGGGATAACTTACAGCATAGTGCTGTGTGTGGGGATAACTTACACCATAGTGCTGTGTGGGGATAACTTACAGCATAGTGCTGTGTGGGGGATAACTTACACCATAGTGCTGTGTGGGGATAACTTACAGCATAGAGCTGTGTGGGGGATTAATTACAGCATAGTGCTGTGTGGGGGGATAACTTACAGCATAGTGCTGTGTGGGGGATTAATTACAGCATAGTGCTGTGTGGGGGGATAACTTACAGCATAGAGCTGTGTGTGGGGGGATAACTTACAGCATAGTGCTGTGTGGGGATAACTTACAGCATAGTGCTGTGTGCGGGATAACTTACAGCATTGTGCTGTGTGTGGGGGGATAACTTACAGCATAGTGATGTGTGGGGATAACTTACAGCATAGAGCTGTGTGGGGGATAACTTACACCATAGTGATGTGTGGGGGATTAATTACAGCATAGTGCAGTGTGGGGGATAACTTACAGCATAGAGCTGTGTGGGGATAACTTACAGCATAGTGCTGTGTGGGGGATAACTTAGAGCATAGTGCTGTGTGGGGGATTAATTACAGCATGGTACTGTGTGGGGATAACTTACAGCATAGAGCTGTGTGGGGATAACTTACAGCATAGTGCTGTGTGTGGGGATAACTTACAGCATAGTGCTGTGTGGGGGGATAACTTACAGCATAGTGCTGTGTGTGGGGATAACGTACAGCATAGTACTGTGTGTGGGGGATAACTTACAGCATAGTGCTGTGTGTGGGGGATAACTTACAGCATAGTACTGTGTGGGGGATAACTTACAGCATAGTGCTGTGTGTGGGGGATAACTTACAGCATAGTGCTGTGTTGGGGATAACTTACAGCATAGTGCTGTGTGGGGGGATAACTTACAGCATAGTGCTGTGTGGGGGGATAACTTACAGCATAGTACTGTGTGTGGGGATAACTTACAGCATAGTGCTGTGTGTGGGGGATAACTTACAGCATAGTGCTGTGTGGGGATAACTTACAGCATAGTGCTGTGTGGGGGATAACTTACAGCATAGTGCTGTGTGTGGGGGATAACTTACAGCATAGTGCTGTGTGTGGGGGATAACTTACAGCATAGTACTGTGTGTGGGGATAACTTACAGCATAGTGCTGTGTGTGGGGGATAACTTACAGCATAGTGCTGTGTGTGGGGGATAACTTACCGCATAGTACTGTGTGTGGGGATAACTTACAGCATAGTGATGTGTGGGGGATAACTTACAGCATAGTGAAGTGTGGGGGATAACTTACAGCATAGTGCTGTGTGGGGGATAACTTACAGCATAGTGCTGTGTGGGGGATAACTTACAGCATAGAGCTGTGTGGGGGATAACTTACAGCATAGAGCTGTGTGGGGGATAACTTACACCATAGTGCTGTGTGGGGGATAACTTACAGCATAGTGCTGTGTGGGGATAACTTACAGCATAGTGCTGTGTGGGGGATAACTTACAGCATAGTGCTGTGTGGGGGATAACTTACAGCATAGTGCTGTGTGTGGGGATAACTTACAGCATAGTGCTGTGTGGGGGATAACTTACAGCATAGTGCTGTGTGGGGATAACTTACAGCATAGTGCTGTGTGGGGGATAACTTACAGCATAGTGCTGTGTGGGGGATAACTTACAGCATAGTGCTGTGTGGGGGATAACTTACAGCATAGTGATGTGTGGGGGATAACTTACAGCAGTGCTGTGTGTGGGGGATAACTTACAGCATAGTGATGTGTGGGGGATAACTTACAGCATAGTGCTGTGTGGGGGATAACTTACAGCATAGAGCTGTGTGGGGATAACTTACAGCATAGTGCTGTGTGGGGGATAACTTACAGCATAGAGCTGTGTGGGGATAACTTACAGCATAGAGCTGTGTGGGGGATAACTTACAGCATAGTGCTGTGGGGGATAACTTACAGCATAGTGCTGTGTGGGGGATAACTTACAGCATAGTGATGTGTGGGGGATAACTTACAGCATAGAGCTGTGTGGGGGATAACTTACAGCATAGAGCTGTGTGGGGGATAACTTACAGCTTAGTGCTGTATGGGGGATAACTTACAGCATAGAGCTGTGTGGGGGATAACTTACAGCATAGAGCTGTGTGGGGGATAAATTACAGCATAGTGCTGTGTGGGGGATAACTTACAGCATAGTGATGTGTGGGGGATAACTTACAGCATAGAGCTGTGTGGGGGATAACTTACAGCATAGAGCTGTGTGGGGGATAACTTACAGCTTAGTGCTGTATGGGGGATAACTTACAGCATAGAGCTGTGTGGGGGATAACTTACAGCATAGAGCTGTGTGGGGGATAAATTACAGCATAGTGCTGTGTGGGGGATAACTTACAGCATAGTGATGTGTGGGGATAACTTACAGCATAGTGCTGTGTGGGGGATAACTTACAGCATAGTGATGTGTGGGTTATAACTTACAGCATAGTGCTGTGTGGGGGATAACTTACAGCATAGAGCTGTGTGGGGGATAACTTACAGCATAGTGCTGTGTGGGGGATAACTTACAGCATAGAGCTGTGTGGGGGATAATTTACAGCATAGTGCTGTGTGGGGGGATAACTTACAGCATAGAGCTGTGTGGGGATAACTTACAGCATAGAGCTGTGTGTGGGGGATAACTTACAGCATAGAGCTGTGTGGGGGGATAACTTACAGCATAGTACTGTGTGGGGGATAACTTACAGCATAGTGCTGTGTGGGGGATAAATTACAGCATAGTGTTGTGTGGGGGGATAACTTACAGCATAGAGCAGTGTGGGGATAACTTACAGCATAGTGCTGTGTGGGGGGATAACTTACAGCATAGAGCTGTGTGGGGTTAACTTACAGCATAGTGCTGTGTGGGGGATAACTTACAGCATAGTGCTGTGTGGGGGGATAACTTACAGCATAGAGCTGTGTGGGGATAACTTACAGCAGAGAGCTGTGGGGATAACTTACAGCATAGAGCTGTGTGGAGATAACTTACAGCATAGTGCTGTGTGGGGGATAACTTACAGCATAGAGCTGTGTGGAGATAACTTACAGCATAGTGCTGTGTGGGGGATAACTTACAGCATAGAGCTGTGTGGGGATAACTTACAGCATAGAGCTGTGTGGGGATAACTTACGGCATAGTGCTGTGTGGGGGGATAACTTACAGCATAGTGCTGTGTGGGGATAACTTACAGCATAGAGCTGTGTGGAGATAACTTACAGCATAGTGCTGTGTGGGGATAACTTACAGCATAGAGCTGTGTGGGGATAACTTACAGCAGTACTCTATTTGGAGATAACTTACAGCATAGAGCTGTGTGGGGATAACTTACAGCATAGAGCTGTGTGGGGATAACTTACAGCATAGAGCTGTGTGGGGATAACTTACAGCATAGAGCTGTGTGGGGATAACTTACAGCATAGTGCTGTGTGGGGATAACTTACAGCAGTACTCTATTTGGAGATAACTTACAGCATAGAGCTGTGTGGGGATAACTTACAGCATAGTGCTGTGTGGGGGATAACTTACAGCATAGAGCTGTGTGGGGATAACTTACAGCATAGAGCTGTGTGGGGATAACTTACAGCAGTACTCTATTTGGGGATAACTAAAGGTACAGCACTCTGGTGATAACATAAGTATAGCAGTACAGTTTGGTACTTACGGTACAGTATATTGTTTGGCGGTAACTTACACACCACCGTATTGTTTGACAAATCTTACGAAAGTGTTGCAGATGACTACTATAATTACTACTACTATTACTACTACTACTACTACTACTACTAATAATAATAATAATAATAATAATAATAATGAGATTTACTGTACGCTCACTTACGCTACACAAGGACACATTGGTTCTCATATAATAAATGTTCAAGTTAAGCACACAGGGATGGCATACAATGAATTAATATTTCCAGCCATTAATACTGGCAGTGTTGCTTATGATGTCATGCTCTGTAATGTATCATGAAGCCGTAGCACAAAGAGCAGTGTGTCTTCGGTGCTAATATTGCTGTGTTGTGCATTGTGTTGCAGATGTCTAGTGTGTTGCAGATGTCTTGTGTGTTGCAGATGTCTTGGGTGTTGCAGATGTGTTGTGTGTTGCAGATGTCTTGTGTGTTGCAGATGTGTTGTGTGTTGCAGATGTCTTGGGTGTTGCAGATGTGTTGTGTGTTGCAGATGTCTTGGGTGTTGCAGATGTGTTGTGTGTTGCAGATGTCTTGGGTGTTGCAGATGTGTTGTGTGTTGCAGATGTCTTGTGTGTTGCAGATGTGTTGTGTGTTGCAGATGTGTTGTGTGTTGCAGATGTGTTGTGTGTTGCAGATGTCTAGTGTGTTGCAGATGTGTTGTGTGTTGCAGATGTGTTGTGTGTTGCAGATGTGTTGTGTGTTGCAGATGTGTTGTGTGTTGAGGAGTGTGCGGCTCGTGACAAGCAGGTTTTGGAGTGGTACAGTTGCAGAAAAAGTGTAATGTTTTGTTTTGTGTGTTGCAGGTAATGATGGTTGTGAAGCGGCAGCAGCGTCAAGGGTTTCTGCGTCCGAGGTTGTGAGAGGAGCAGCGTGATGGCCGCCCACGGCCGCCTCAACACACTATTCTGACGATCATTGGTCACGCCCGGACACTCTCACCCCCGACCACCATACAGTCTTTGGTGCGTGTTAAAGTGTATGTCATACAACACTACGGCAGTGGCGAGTGGTGATGATAGCACGACCAGGTGTATGAGGTGTGCAGTGAGGGACTGTGTTGTGAGCAGTGAGGGTGGGTGTGAGGGCGGCGGATGGTGCCTCATAGAGCACAAAGTTGCCTAATTTGGCTCTGAATGGTGTCTTAGATTGGTGATGTTAGCAAACCGTCCATGAGAAGCTGCTGGTGCCAAGACCAGTTGATGCGTAGGTGTGTCCCGCCAGTGTGGCTGCTGGTGCTCGACCCCCAGGACTCCCGCCGCCCCCACGACTCCCTCACGGTGCTCCATCCTTTATATGTTGTTACGGACGGAAAGTTTGTGTGAGGAGGTGGCGTGCAGGTGTGGCGGAGAGGTGGTGTTAGTGGCGCGGGCGTCGTGATGACCACACTGTGCACGACTCCAGAGTCTCTCCCCTCCCCCAGGGCGGCAGACGCAGCCCCAGGCTTCACCTCGCCCCCCGACCCCTCCCCACGTTCCTACGACACCGCGCCCTTCCCAGGGGACACCCCTCCCCCGTCTTACCCCGGCAGAGGCGACACCGACTACGAAGTGCCCTTCTTCACGGTGGCGCACTACCGCACGCCCACGGCGCCCACCACCTACGAGTACGCCGCCACTCACGCCGCCTTCCCGGAAGTGGTTGGGGAGGCTTTGTACAATGGTGGCCTTGACAGCTCTGTCACGTCTCCGGTGGAGTTGGCCTTTGGCGGCAGCATGACGGACTCCGGCCGGTGGTGGCCGCGGGCTGAGGCCTCTCAGGACACCACGCCCAGCCACACCCCAGCCCGCTCCCCCGTGGGCCTGCCTGGCCCTCTGCCCCGACCCGAGCCAGACTACACCCCGCCGCCACACCCTCCAGGCACCTTTATCCGTAGAGTGTACGGCTCGCACGACCGCACGCCCGTGGGGTGTCTGCACGCCGCCGCCGGCACCGCCCCGCGGGGCCACAAGCCCGCCCCGTTAAAAAGTGCTCAGCAAGGAGGCTCGCGGCCCAACCGCACTCACGACGACACGCCCGTCAGGGGCTCCGTGGACTTCGTCCTGGACCAGCCCTCACGGACCCCCAACAGGAGCAGGAGTGGGTCCCGCCGGGGGGCGACGACCCCCGGCAAGCGCTCTGCGCCCACCACCCCCGGGGACGACCACGCCCCCAGAGAGGTCGGATGGGCGACAGAAGACCCCAGGACTGCCCCGTCGCAGGACGCAACTGCGGCACGTCAGGGGTCAGTCGCGGGGTCCGACAGCAGCGCCAACAGGGAGGCGGGGGCGGCGTCGAGCGCAGTCACGGAGGGGAGCGGCGGCGTGGACACGAGCGCAGTGTACGAGGACGCCGGCGTGAGTGACGCCGCGGACCGCTTAGAGTCCGCCGTCCACTCCAGCTCCTCCTCCGAGGTGATGGTCACCCCCAGGACCCCCCGCACCCCCCGCACCCCCAGGAGCAAGTCCAGGTCAGTCTCCCCACCATGTTGTCACCCCCCACACCCCCGCCATACACAGCCAGGTCCCCCACACCCCCCTGCTCCCACACCCCCGCCATACACAGCCAGGTCCCCCACACCCCCGCCATACACAGCCAGGTCCCCCACACCCCCGCCATACACAGCCAGGTCCCCCACACCCCCGCCATACACAGCCAGGTCTCCCACACCCCCACCATACACAGCCAGGTCTCCCACACCCCCACCATACACAGCCAGGTCTCCCACACCCCCGCCATACACAGCCAGGGGCCCCCACACCCCCACCATACACAGCCAGGTCTCCCACACCCCCACCATACACAGCCAGGGCCCCCACACCCCCACCATACACAGCCAGGTCTCCCACACCCCCACCATACACAGCCAGGTCTCCCATACCCCCACCATACACAGCCAGGTCTCCCACACCCCCGCCATACACAGCCAGGTCTCCCACACCCCCACCATACACAGCCAGGTCTCCCACACCCCGCCATACACAGCCAGGTCTCCCACACCCCCCCCCCTACTCCCACACCCCCGCCATACACAGCCAGGTCCCCCACCATACACAGCCAGGTCTCCCACACCCCCGCCATACACAGCCAGGTCTCCCACACCCCCACCATACACAGCCAGGTCTCCCACACCCCCACCATACACAGCCAGGTCTCCCACACCCCCACCATACACAGCCAGGTCTCCCACACCCCCGCCATACACAGCCAGGTCTCCCACACCCCACCATACACAGCCAGCTCCCCCACACCCCCACCATACACAGCCAGGTCTCCCACACCCCCGCCATACACAGCCAGGTCTCCCACACCCCCACCATACACAGCCAGGTCTCCCACACCCCCCACCATACACCGCCAGGTCTCCCACACCCCCACCATACACAGCCAGGTCTCCCACACCCCCACCATACACCACCAGGTCCCCCATACCCCCGCCATACACCGCCAGGTCTCCCACACCTCACCATACACAGCCAGGTCTCCCACACCTCACCATACACAGCCAGGTCTCCCACACCTCACCATACACAGCCAGGTCTCCCACACCTCACCATACACAGCCAGGTCCCCCACACCCCCACCATACACCGCCAGGTCTCCCACACCCCCACCATACACAGCCAGGTCACCCACACCCCACCATACACAGCCAGGTCTCCCACACCCCCACCATACACAGCCAGGTCCCCCACACCCCCGCCATACACCGCCAGGTCTCCCACACCTCACCATACACCGCCAGGTCTCCCACACCCCCACCATACACAGCCAGGTCCCCCACACCCCCACCATACACAGCCAGGTCTCCCACACCCCCACCATACACAGCCAGGTCTCCCACACCCCCACCATACACAGCCAGGTCTCCCACACCCCCACCATACACAGCCAGGTCTCCCACACCCCCACCATACACAGCCAGGTCTCCCACACCCCCACTATACACAGCCAGGTCTCCCACACCCCCACCATACACAGCCAGGTCTCCCACACCCCCACCATACACAGCCAGGTCTCCCACACCCCCTCCATACACCGCCAGGTCCACCACACCCCCTCAATACACCGCCAGGTCTCGCACACCCCCTCCATACACAGCCAGGTCTCCCACACCCCCACCATACACAGCCAGGTCTCCCACACCCCCGCCATACACCGCCAGGTCCCCCACACCCCCGCCATACACCGCCAGGTCTCCCACACCCCCACCATACACAGCCAGGTCTCCCACACCCCCACCATACACCGCCAGGTCTCCCACACCCCCGCCATACACCGCCAGGTCTCCCACACCTACACCATACACCGCCAGGTCTCCCACACCCCCGCCATACACCGCCAGGTCCCCCACACCCCCGCCATACACCGCCAGGTCTCCCACACCCCCGCCATACACCGCCAGGTCCCCACACCCCCACCATACACCGCCAGGTCTCCCACACCCCCGCCATACACCGCCAGGTCTCCCACACCCCCACCATACACCGCCAGGTCTCCCACACCCCCGCCAGGTCCCCACACCCCCACCATACACCGCCAGGTCCCCACACCCCCACCATACACCGCCAGGTCTCCCACACCCCCACCATACACCGCCAGGTCTCCCACACCCCCACCATACACCGCCAGGTCTCCCACACCCCCACCATACACAGCCAGGTCTCCCACACCCCCACCATACACCGCCAGGTCTCCCACACCCCCACCATACACAGCCAGGTCCCCCACACCCCCGCCATACACCGCCAGGTCTCCCACACCCCCACCATACACCGCCAGGTCTCCCACACCCCCGCCAGGTCCCCACACCCCCACCATACACCGCCAGGTCCCCACACCCCCGCCATACACAACCAGGTCTCCCACACCCCCACCATACACCGCCAGGTCTCCCACACCCCCACCATACACAGCCAGGTCTCCCACACCCCCACCATACACCGCCAGGTCCCCCACACCCCCGCCATACACCGCCAGGTCTCCCACACCCCCACCATACACCGCCAGGTCTCCCACACCCCCGCCATATACCGCCAGGTCCCCACACCCCCGCCATTCACAGCCAGGTCTCCCACACCCCCGCCATACACCGCCAGGTCTCCCACACCCCCACCATACACAGCCAGGTCTCCCACACCCCCACCATACATAGCCAGGTCTCCCACACCCCCGCCATACACCACCAGGTCTCCCACACCCCCACCATACACCGCCAGGTCTCCCACACCCCCACCATACACAGCCAGGTCTCCCACACCCCCACCATACACAGCCAGGTCTCCCACACCCCCGCCATACACCACCAGGTCTCCCACACCCCCACCATACACAGCCAGGTCTCCCACACCCCCACCATACACAGCCAGGTCTCCCACACCCCCGCCATACACCACCAGGTCTCCCACACCCCCACCATACACCGCCAGGTCTCCCACACCCCCACCATACACAGCCAGGTCTCCCACACCCCCACCATACACCGCCAGGTCTCCCACACCTCCACCATACACCGCCAGGTCTCCCACACCCCCGCCATACACCGCCAGGTCCCCACACCCCCACCATACACCGCCAGGTCTCCCACACCCCCGCCATACACCGCCAGGTCTCCCACACCCCCACCATACACAGCCAGGTCTCCCACACCCCCGCCATACACCACCAGGTCTCCCACACCCCCACCATACACCGCCAGGTCTCCCACACCCCCACCATACACAGCCAGGTCTCCCACACCCCCACCATACACCGCCAGGTCTCCCACACCTCCACCATACACCGCCAGGTCCCCACACCCCCACCATACACCGCCAGGTCTCCCACACCCCCGCCATACACCGCCAGGTCTCCCACACCCCCGCCAGGTCCCCACACCCCCACCATACACCGCCAGGTCCCCACACCCCCGCCATACACAACCAGGTCTCCCACACCCCCACCATACACCGCCAGGTCTCCCACACCCCCACCATACACAGCCAGGTCTCCCACACCCCCACCATACACCGCCAGGTCCCCACACCCCCGCCATACACCGCCAGGTCTCCCACACCCCCACCATACACCGCCAGGTCTCCCACACCCCCGCCATATACCGCCAGGTCCCCACACCCCCGCCATTCACAGCCAGGTCTCCCACACCCCCGCCATACACCGCCAGGTCTCCCACACCCCCACCATACACAGCCAGGTCTCCCACACCCCCACCATACATAGCCAGGTCTCCCACACCCCCGCCATACACCACCAGGTCTCCCACACCCCCACCATACACCGCCAGGTCTCCCACACCCCCACCATACACAGCCAGGTCTCCCACACCCCCACCATACACAGCCAGGTCTCCCACACCCCCGCCATACACCACCAGGTCTCCCACACCCCCACCATACACAGCCAGGTCTCCCACACCCCCACCATACACCGCCAGGTCTCCCACACCCCCGCCATAAACCACCAGGTCTCCCACACCCCCGCCATACACCGCCAGGTCCCCCACACCCCCACCATACACAGCCAGGTCTCCCACACCCCACCATACACCGCCAGGTCCCCCACACCTCCACCATACACCGCCAGGTCTCCCACACCCCCGCCATACACCGCCAGGTCCCCACACCCCCACCATACACCGCCAGGTCTCCCACACCCCCGCCATACACCGCCAGGTCTCCCACACCCCCACCATACACAGCCAGGTCTCCCACACCCCCACCATACACAGCCAGGTCTCCCACACCCCCGCCATACACCGCCAGGTCTCCCACACCCCCGCCATACACAGCCAGGTCTCCCACACCCCCACCATACACCGCCAGGTCTCCCACACCCCCACCATACACAGCCAGGTCTCCCACACCCCCCACCATACACCGCCAGGTCTCCCAAACCCCCACCATACACAGCCAGGTCTCCCACACCCCCACCATACACCACCAGGTCCCCCACACCCCCACCATACACCGCCAGGTCTCCCACACCCCCGCCATACACCACCAGGTCTCCCACACCCCCACCATACACCGCCAGGTCTCCCAAACCCCACCATACACAGCCAGGTCTCCCACACCCCCACCATACACCACCAGGTCCCCCACACCCCCACCATACACCGTTAGGTCTCCCACACCCCCGCCATACACCACCTGGTCTCCCACACCCCCACCATACACCGCCAGGTCTCCCACACCTCACCATTACCATCAGTCATCTCTAACACAAGAGTCGGGTCCTCCTTCACCAGGTCATATATCCCCTAGTTGTCTTGTCACATTAATATCTTTTGGATGAGACGCCCGGCTGTGTGTCCGGTCCAGCGCGCTGGGTTTGGCCAGTTATTGAACAGGCGAGCGGTCAACCTCACCTTTGGGTAGGAAGATCTTAACAAACCTGAGGTACAGGTACAAGTTTGAGGTAAAGGTACAAGCCTGAGGTACAAGTACAGGTAGGAGCCTGTGAGGCATCGGG